CTTAGAATCAATCTGGACTAACACACACAAAAAAAAATTTAAAAAATTTACAGACAGATTTTTTCATGTGAACTTTTGTGTTAGTCATAAGTGCTCAATATACAAAACAGTGTTGTTTTTTTTTCAGAAAAACGCTTCTTTTCACAAGTACTTTCACCAATTTTTTAAGAAATTTTTTTTATGAGTTTAAGAAACGATATCGAAAAAACTTATTTTATTTTTTTCACAAGGTTAATTTTTATGTAGAAATTATTAACAAACCTTTCAATTTTGATGAAAAAAATAGTACAAGAAAACTGTTCCATTGATTGCTTAGACGACTTTTCTGATGCGATTTACTTCATTTGAAAAACACGATGCATAGATGCTTTTATTGGTTGTTGAAAAAGTGCACCAAAGTTTAATTTTTTAAACAGTATTGAGAAAGCAAGACAAATCTGTGTTTTATAACGTTTTGGCATACAATTCACAAACTTGCTATAAGCTATTATGGCGGATGTTCACTTCTGTGCATTTTTAAGATTTTTTTGAAATTAATTCCATTTTTTTCGGGAAAATCAAAACAACCCTATTTGAACGTCGCATTTTGTGGTCAATTGAAAATTTGCACTCTTGGTTTTTGTTAGTCGAAAGTTGCACGATGATGACGAGCAAACAAAAACTGTTTTTTGTTTGGTTTTTTTAATTTTTGTAAAATTAAAAATACCACCGAACACTTCTTGTTTTTGACGAAACACTTTTGACTTCGCAAATACTGATGCATTAGGATTACCTTTTCAGTTTCAGAAATCAAGATGCTAAGTTTTCATTGGTATATCTTTCTAACCTACTTTTCAATGCAATTTTTTGTCTTTCACAATTTGAAGTATCAGGACCAACCGTACAATTTCCACTATCCCAAATCAATTTGGGGGGGGGGAATTAGATTTTTCATAAGCAAACTTTGAGTATAGCCTAGAATCGTTCAAAATTAACGAAAATACTGAATAAAAATAAATTAAAACATTAATTTGAGTAATCAACAGCAAAAAAATGCAATCAGCATTAAAAATGTACGGTGGGTAACTTGGGTGGAGGGCGGGGGTGGGAGATTGATGGTTGATCCATTTTTTCATGCTCTAATTAGACTATTAATTGTTCTTTTAAGTCTCTGTTTTAAAGCCTGTGTTCATTTTTCTAAACTTCATACATGAACGGAAAATTCGACAAGAAAACAAACAAAAAACGGTAATGGTCAGTCAATAAGCAGAATGTTCTAAGAGCAGAATGGGTCCAACAGCAGAATAACATAAATATATTATATTTTATAAGCTGATTGGTAGAATAGTTATAATTAAAGTAAATATTGACAAAACTTTTTATGCACAATTTCAGTAATTTAAACAAGATGTATTAAAAACTCAATATAAAAATTGATGAAAATATACAATTTATTTTGTTTTGGTATTATTGACAAGTCTGATAAATTTTTGTCAATTTTCCGTATTAATCAGTAGAAATTTTTAAAAATCTTGTTTTTCTGCTCTTGCACCCATTCTGTTCTTAGACCATTCTGCTTATGGCTCCACCACCCTGAAAAACTGTTCGCTTTATCTCTGAAAAACGGTTGATTCGAGCATTTTTAAATAAATAGCTATTTATGTTCGTTTTAAATTATGATAAAAAAAGATCATTCAAAATGACCAAAAATAAATGATAAATGTTCACTCTGCAAGTAACACAAAAATGATTGATCGAGGTGAATACGGCAAAAAAATTCCTTGTTTTTCCACAGTTTTTTCTTGAAGATTTCTGCCATTCTGCATTTGGTAATAGTTCATTCAAAGTAGCTGCAACCGGATATGTTCAGCTTGCAGACGATTAAAAGTTATAAAATAATTTGGAAAAGACTGGTTTACTTGAATTCATTTTCAACCCCTTCGCTGAAAAGCAAAGAAGATTAACAAAGCAAGTTTTTCTTGAACTGAAAAAAACAAGACTGCTTGTGTATGGGCGAAGCCTTGAATTTTCCGACAGCCTTCTAAGGTCTATGGAGCAGTGATAACATAAAAAACTTGAAAGTAAAAAACAAACATTTTTGCATTAAAAAATTGGACATTTTTTTGTGAAAATCATCCCGCACAATTTACCCTGCCCCAAATCTCCGTAAAATTTCCGCTACCCCAAATCGATTAGGTGGGAAATAGATATTTCATAAGCAAACTTTGCGTATAACCTAGACTCGTCAAAAATAACGAATTTATTGATTAAAAATAAATGAAAACACTAACATGAGTAATTAACAGCAAAAAAATGCAATCAGCATAAAAAATGTACGGTGTGGAACTTGGGTGGAGGGCGGGGTTGAGAGATTGTATGGTTGATCCATTTTTTCATGCTAAAATTAGACTATTAATTGTTGTTTTAAGTCTGTGTTTTTAAGCCTGTGTTCATCTTTCTAAACTACATACATGAACTGAAAATGCGACAAAAAAAACAATTAAAAAACGGTAATGTCCAGTCGTGAGCAGAATGATCTAAGAACAGAATGGGTCCAAGAGCAGAATAACATAAAATTATTATAGTTTGTTAGCTGATCGGTAGAATAATTATAATAACAGTAAAAATTAACAAAATTTTTTTTTTTGCACAATTTGAGTAATTTAAAAAAGATTTATTAAAAACTCATTAAAAAATTGGATGAAAATATTCAAAACATAACAGATTATTTTGTTTTTTGGTATTATTGACAAATATGTTAAATTTTCTCTTCAATTTGTCCGTAATAATCAGTAAAAACTTTAAAAAAATTTTGTTTCTCTGCTCTTGCACTCATTCTGCGCTTAGACAATTCTGCTTATTGCTCCGCCTCCCTAAAAATTGATCGCTTTATCTCTGAAAAACGGTTGATCTGAGCATTTGCAAATGATAAGCATTTTATGTTTGTTTCAAATTATAATATGAAAAAATCATTCAAAATGACCAAAAATAAATGATAAATGTTCACTCTGCAAGTAACACAAAATTGTTCAATCGAGGTGAATAAGGCAAAAAAAATTCTTGTTTTACCACAGATTTGCTTGAAGCTTTCTGTAATGCTTCATTTATTAATAGTTCATTTAAAGTAGCTGCAGCCCGGATGAGTTGAGCTTGCAGACGGTTAAAAGTTCTAAAACAATTTGGAAAAGACAGGTTTACTTGAATTCATTTTCAATCCCTTCGCTGAAAAGCAAAGAAAATTAACAAAACAAGTTTTTCTTCAACTGAAAAAAAAAACAAGACTGCTCGTGTACGGGCGAAGCCACGAATTTTCCGACTGCCTTTTAAGGTCTATGGAGCAGTGATAACATAAAAAACTTGAAAGTGAAAAACAAAAAAAAAACAAATATTTTTGCATAAAAAATTTGGAGATTTTTCAGTAAAAATCATCCCGCCACACGCCATATAAAGTCCAAAGAGATACATTTTGCTCCTAGTAGCAAGTCAACTATGGCAAATATGGCGAATAAGCTTCCTTCAACCAATTTGGAACGATTTCTCAGACGGATTGAATCTCCGCTTACTCGTTAATAGCGCTAAATATATCGCGCGTTAATTGTCCTAAATCGTCCAAAAATGGTAATCTTTAAACCTCCATAACGTCACGAAAAATGATCGCAGGTAAATGAACTATTCAAAATTTAAGGTCAGGACAGCAATACTTTTTGCATGATTTTTTGAATGTTCCGTCAAAAATGGCTAGTTAAAAAGCCGAAATCTGTCTGAAGAAAACCACGCCGAGCACACATACTACGTTATTTTGTACGAAAAGTTTACATGAGAAAACCTTTGAGAAAACCTTGGATGTTTGTAAATTGTGCTACCTGATTGCGAGAAAAAAAGTATTCGAATTTCCTTCAACCAATCGATGCCAACATCTTCCTACACAGTAATCATTGCGATGCCAAACTGTGCACTGGATAGGTGCACAACTTTGTGTGTGTATGTTCCTTGAATCCAGAGACAAATCTTTAAACATGTTAAAACCTTGTCGGAACGATCAAAGGAAATGAAAGAACAAAAGACGAACAAAGGGAGCGAACAGTTTATAACAATGATATAACCATAACTAAATTTTTTGTATCAGGCTAAAAATCTTCTTTTCAGAAAAATCATTGAGCCAAAAACTTGAATAATAAAAAAAAATTAAACTCCATTTAAAGTCTTTTGTTGCATAGAATCAGCATAGAATCATTGAACCGAAAACTTGAATATTAAGAAATTTAAACTCCATTTAATGTCTTTTGTTTGAAAAATTAGCTCATGATACAGTTTCATAAAAAAAAATTGATAAATTTAGTTTTGAAAGACTCCATTTAACACAAAATTCCTAACTCAATATTATCAATTAAAATTCGTCAGATTAGTTTTTGATTATAAAAGATTAAAATATTTCGGTTAATAGTACAACTTTATTAGGCTATCTGTCTTTTAAGCTGTTATAATCAAAGTTTAATAAATGTTATAAATCAAAGTTTTAATGGTGAACGAGGAAGCAGGTTACTCTACAAGTAGCAAAAATAGAAAAACAAAAAAGTCAAAGAAAAAAACCAATAGAAATTTTTTTGCCGTTTTTTAAATAAATTTTCAAAGTTTTTGGTTCCAAAAACTCAAATAAAAACTAACTTTCTTCGAGTAAATTTAAATTTTTACGGCTTTTATTAAGCTATTGTAAGCGTTTAAGCCATTAAATTAAGCTATTGCAAGCTTGTTTGTTCGCTCGGATTCAGACAAAAATGAAAAGGTTCAAACAGGTTTTTCTCGACGCTGAGAAAACTTTTTTAAATGTTTGTCATGTTGTTGGAATCACGATTGAAAGTGCTTCAATATGATATAACACTCATATCTCCGATGATTATTTGTGGCAGCTGGTTTGCTTGGAAAACAGAAAAAAAACTACTTTTTTCATGAAAAACAAACACGAGTTGATGGATTGCCAATTTTCAAGTTTTGTCTCTTCTAATGTAAAATTTAGCACCCACCTAGCACCAACGTCTCCCGTTCATCGTAAATGTCATTTCCCCCTATGGAGACCAGTTTGAGTCCACTGATCTTGGGTGCATAGTCTATGGCATACTTGCAGTTCTGTCTCGACTGGATCTCGGCTCTGTTCTGCTTAAACGGGGGAAAACACACTTTGCTCCAGTCTACTGTCTCTGGCCGAATGGTGTCCTCGATCTGGATAAAAATACAGCCCATTTTTTAAACATTTAAGTGTTTAATATTATTATTTAGATTTTTAGTAATTAATTACTAATAAGAACAGCAAAAAGCATCTAATTAAAGTTTCATATGAAAACTTGATTATGTTAAAATAACAAATACACTTTATTGCACATGCTTTAAAACAAAATTGACAAAAAACTGTTTAACTTGTCCAGGTATTTCTTCTATTTGATGCAGAACCAGACTCGGATCAAGGGTTTTCTCGAGGGGCTTTCTCGATTTTCAAACCGGTGTGATTTCATCAAACGTGCCACATTGATTGTTCAAGCCTTTTAAAATAATCTAAACTCGTTTTTTTGGCAAATAATTGTACAATGTACGCGAATTTTTAGAAAAATTAGTCGGGCCCAAAATTAAAAACTGTAGATACTCTTTAGGTTTTTGCTATAAAATCACGTTTTTTATCGGCGCAAACGCCACACTCAATTTTAGTGTATATTGGAACTAAACGCGTGTTCAGAAAAATGTTAGTGTCGATTAGACAAATTAGATGTTGCAAGAAAGTACCGAAGAAGAATTGCTAATGGGTCAAATCACTGATAAGGGAGGTGAACGATCAGAACGAACATTTGTATCCTATGTCTTCTATTGACACAAAAATCAATTTCTAATCGATATCATCAATGACTTATACATGCTTTCAGGGGCAGATATAGGTTTTCTTGAGAGGGGGGATTGATTTTCAATAAATTTACGACAAATTTTGTTTATATTTTTACTCGGCCAGACTAATTTCCGAGCTCTCCTAAATTACTATTAGGACCTTTGGGTAGCGAGGGGGTCGAGTTTCTGTCTTTTCGTGTTAGTATTTGAATTAATACTTGATTCCAGCCAAAAAAGTGTTTAATGCGAGAACGACTAAATAGTTACGGCGAGTATGATGAGTCCATTGGCCAGTCCCCCGTACAGGTTGTTCACATAGGTTGCCTCCCATTTGGGCTTGAAGCCCTCGGGGGTTCCCAAACCTAGACTGTTGATCCAGTTACGGAAGGCTGCAAACAACAGGAATTGTCTGTTTTGGATCAAACCAGCTATCACAGATCAAATTTAAGCGGACAAATTGGATAAAGCTGTCGATTTTGTTCATACAAAAATTTATTTTGTATCTTAAGATATTCTAAATTTTTTCTCAGTATCTAAGATTTAAACAAGATCTGATACGTTTTTGGGATTTATGAGGCATTCCTTGAAAAAATCCGCCAAACCCCCCCCCCCCGCCTTGCCTTGGAAAAAGTCTTTAATATACCTGCTTCTGGTTTCTACTAACTCGGAACTACATAAGTTTGTCATATAACGAGATTAATGGAATGATGAAAACCTGAAAGCAAAATTAAGTATCCCAGATTTAATTCCCCCCCCCCCCCTCCCCACTTTTTCATTGCCCCCCATTTTCCTATTAAGCAGCAATGCCAATCCTGAAAATGAAACATACTAAATTCAATATTTTACTGTTTTATATTTGGTAGCGACCTCTTTGTTTCCTTTCTGATATGAAATCAAATATTTCAAGGTCAGACGAAATTTAGTGACGTCATCAAAAAGAAATTTTGATTCAACATCCCCTTTTCAGTGTTTTGAGCTTATTACTTTTCTCCTCCCTGGTCTCTGTGATGATCTCCTCGGGGGCCACTGGCTCCTCCTCCTCATTCAGTCCAGGGTAGTTGTTGAACAGATTGGCCACAAACGCCATGTTCAATTTGTCATTCCCATCCACGATGTCCTACACGGTACAAACACGAGTGTCAATAAACCAGCCTAATTAGTAAAAACTCACTGGAAGTTAGGCCATTTAATTTGATTTAAAAAATTACACGACTTTCGCATTCATAAGCCTTGAAAAATTATAAATTACTTCTTCAGTTTTTTAGGAGGAGATTGATCCTTTGGCTATTTTTCAAAATCTTCTGGCTATCACTCTTTTACTAGCCTATCAAAAAAACCAAAGTTCGGATATCTTTTGTAGGTCTTCGTAGAGCGGTTTTTTATACAATCAGCAAGCATGCTAGTCTTGTTAATCGCAAATTAAACGGACTTAAGTTTCTTACTGTTTGCGGGCAAAATTATCAATTGAAAACAAATTGCGTTTCAAATACGTGAATAAAACCTTACAAAAAACTACGAAACACATGGGACGCCCCCCCCCCTCAGGGATTCACCCCCTGCCGACCCAAAGGGTCCACCTTTGAGACTTTTTAAGAAATCCATTTTTGGCCGACCGATCCTAAAATTTTTCTAAAAGCGCCTTTGGCGCCAATATACTAACTTTGAGGGGGAGCGCGCGCCAAAAAAAACGCGATTTTTTGTCAAAATTTCTCAAAAAGTGCCCAAAAATGACTTTTTTGACAGTTTTTTTCAAAATTTTAAATTGCTTGCGGCGCTGAAAATTTAGCCCAAAATACGGGAAAAACAGTGCTTTGGGAGAGCTCGAAAAATCAATTTGGTCGAATTAAAAAAAAAACGTCAAAATTTTTGAAAATTTTTTGAAAATACGCCCCCCCCCTCGAGAAAATCCTAGATCCACCCCGGCGGGATTCATACGTTTAGTTAATTCAAAATATATTTTTCTAACCAATTGTTAACAAAAGTTATATTGCATTTCTTATGTTTATTCGTTGGAATTCAGAAGTTTGTTTTCGTGTATCATCAAGCCAGATGTTGTCTACTTCATCAAAACATGCATAAACGCTCAAGAAAATTTTAGTTTCTTCAAAGAGACTTTTTCGTGTTCAGACATAAATTTAGTTGCGAATTCCTATAAAGAAACATAGCCAACAAAATAACTCATAGAGAACTGGCTTCTTTCAGAAAAGTTTTAAATTAAAAATTTTCAAAAAACGTTTATCTGCTTGAAAAATTTAAATTCATGATATTTTTGTGGTTAACATATATTTACTAAATCTAATCCATTTTCTGAAAAGTGGATCAAAAAAGAAATTATTTCACTTTTAATCCGTTTGCAAAAGCAGAAGTCAACAAATTTTTTTCCGCGTTTGCTTTCCGTTTAGCAAATGCTTTTATATTGAGCCGAAAAAACCTCAAGTTTAAAACAACGAAAAAATCAGATTTAAGAGTAGACGGATAAAGACTCTATATTGGAGGGAAAGAGAAATGAAAAAAAAAAGACCAACCACACACTTATTAAACAACTTTATTGACAAACAAAATGAAACTTTTCAAAAAGTCTTTTTGAAAAAAAGCATAATTCATGTCTGATCATGTGAGTAACCACAAAAGAATTGTTTCGATTGCCCTTAAGCGTCAACAAAAAATTTTTGGTTGAAAAAAATGATTCAAACCGTGCAAAAAAGACATTTCTCATTTGTATCCGCAACACACTATGCAAAGCACAAACTGAAAGCTTAGAGTTTAATAACCTAATGAAACGAGCAATATGCTTGCCTCAAATAAATTTGAAATGATACAAGTTTGTTCGTAATAAGGAAAAAGCCGTCTAAGAGTCCAAAGAATGAGTCATAATTTTAGGAAAGTTATTTCATGATAAATTTGGAAAAAAACTCAGAATTCCAACCACCCATTTAAAATTAAAAGTGATGCAATGGCGTCTAGAAAGGTAAGGTACCGTTTAAAACAAAATAGAACGGTTCGCGCGTTAAAATAACGGTTGATAATGCTTGTTATTTATCCCAACTTTGCAAATTATTGATTTTTAAACTGTCATAACTTTTTGATAAATGATCACAGGTAAAATATCTTTATAAGTTCGAGCTCAAAAAGTCAATATTTTCCAAATGGCACCAAAACTAGCTTCAAAAACTCAGTTAAAAGTCAAAAATCGTAACAATAACTTATGGCTCTGATGCTTTCATAGGTCAAAAAAATCATCGTGTTTTTGTGGTCGAAATAGTTCCAGATTTAATTCTGTTTTACATTATAACAAAAGATTGCAGGTAAAATTGCTTTCTAACATTGAACTTTAGACATCAATTTTTTTAGGTGGTACATAAACTGCGCCAAAAATGGGCCATTAAGTAGCCGAAATTTGTCTGTTGAAAAAAAATCACACCGTGGAAATAAACATTTGAATAACATTTTATGTTAAAACAGGAAGAATTTTTCACAAAAGCACATGCTTGCTGTTGCTAATCATAGTTTCCCATGATCAATTTTTCCAATAAAAGTTTGGAAGCTATGAAATTCAAATTTTGTTTATAGGTTATTGTTCCCGATTAAAAAGGAGAAATATTACTTTACAGAAAGCTTTTGAGTTTCAATAAACAATTTAAACTTATGCCTTTTCTGGAATCTTTTACTGTGCTTCAGCTTTTCTATGTCTCTAGAAAGTTAACCTGAGGGGTGACGAATTTTCTGCAATCCAGTTTATCCGCACTCTCTAAGTTAGTTTCTGCCCTCTCCAGTAGCTTCGGGTTCTGGAACGACAAAATAACTGAAGTTAATTTTATGCAATTCAGTCCAATGACACACTACCAGCTAATCAAACTAATTAGGTCAATACCAGACTTAATATGAACATTAAAACAAAGTTAATATTTATTATCGAGGGCAAAAGGAAAAAAGACAGCTAAATTTTTTTTGCGGTAATTTTATTGCTGAAATCTTTTCATTGCGTCCCGTATTAATTAAGCCAGCAGTTTTTTTAGAGAATGCTTATTGAGCAGAATTAGTGAAATAAGGTTGAAGAAATTTATATATCACAGAAACAAACATTTTCAGTTTTTCAAACGACTTCGTCTTACAAACTTTGTTTTCATGATCAGTTTCAAAGCTAACCCGAAACATTGAAAGAGGGGTTTTGTTGGTAATTTTTGGTCAACCCAATACAGTGCTGATTTAAATTATCCGGACAAAACGAACAAAACTTGAATTTTCAAACACGTTTTTCTCAAATTGGGTTAAGATTAGACAAAAAGTGAAGAGAACAAAAGTTGCTTATAATTTCATCAGAATTAATATGGTGCAATTGTTTCTCCGAAATTTTCAACCAAAATTTTATCCCAAAAATGGGTACTTTTGGCTTTTTTTCAATATCAAGATTTACGCTGGAACTATTTTGTTAATTGATAAAGAAAAACACATCACAAGAAGCCTCTTACACGGCTCAACAAAGTTTAAGAAGGGTTAAATCTCCAAAAACTTGTCTAAGAGAAGAAAATTACTTGATAGTCAATAAATAAGATTTTTACTAGATAAAACCCAGAATTTTTGCTTAAAAACAAATTTTAAACAATTTGCGCAAATTTCTGGAGATTTAACGCTTCTTAAAATTTGTTGGGCCGTGTAAGACATTTCTTGTGATGTATTTTTCTTTATCAATCAGCAAAATAGTTCCAGCGTAAATCTTGGTTAATTGAAAAAAGCCAAAATTACCCATTTTTGGGATAAACTTTCGGTTGAAAGTTTCGGAGAAAAAATTGCACCATATTAATTCTGATGAAACTCTAAGCAGCTTTTGTTTCATTGACTTTGAGAAAAACGTGTTTGAAAATTCAAGTTTTGTTCATTTTATCCGGTTAATTTAAATCAGCACTGTAGTCATGACAGTTAAAAATAACACATTAACACATCTCCTGCCCATGGTGGCCAGTCAATAAGCAGAATGGTCTAAAAGCAGAAAGGGTCAAAGAGCAGAAAAATTGAAAAAAAAATATCTAATTTTTTTGAGCTAATTGGTAAATTAATTATGAAACGTCAGTAATACCAGAACAACGAACATTTTATGCATAATTTGAGTAATTTAATTAGGATTTAGAAAAATTCAATCAAAAAACTTAAAGAAATTATTCAATTCATGAATAATTTTTTCATTTTTTTGGTATTTTTTGACGATTCTAATAATTTTTTTATCAATTAGCCTGTATAGACCAACTTAAGTCAAAATTTTTCTGTTTTTCTGCTCTTGGACCTCTTCTGCTCATAGAGCATTCTGCTTATTGCTCCGCCTCCCCTCCCCATGCAGTTTATTGGGTTTCACCTAGTTCTGAGCTAGATAATTCAGCCAAGAAGAATCGAGTATTAAAAATGCTGAACTATTCTCAAATACTTTAAATACAGTGCTGATTTAACTTAACCGGATAAAACGCGTTAAATTTGAAATTTAAAACTCGTTTTTCCCAAATTGGGTTGAATTTAGATGAAAACTTAAAAAGAGAAAACTTGCTTAAAATTTTAGCAGAATTATTATAGCTTAATTTGTTTTGCAAAAATCGGGCCCAAAATATTACCCCAAAAATAGGTGATTTCGGCTTTTCTTAGAAAATAAAAAACTGCGCCCAAAACACGGAGTCGATCACAGACATAAATCGATCAAAGTGAGCCGCTTACGTAGTCCAAAAAACTTTAAGAAGGGTATTTTCTTTAAAAAAAATTGCGAACCCTTTAAATTTTGTTTTTAAACAAAAAGTTGGTATTTTATGTAGTAAAAACGACTTTTTTGTCTATCAAACAAAAAAAAATTAACTTAAGCAATGTTTTGGAGAATACAACCTTCTTAAAGTTTGTTGGGCTACGTAAGGGGGTCACTTTGATAGAAAAATGTCTGTGATTGATTCGGAATTTTGGGCGTAGTTTTTGACTAACCAAGAAAAGCCAAAATGACCCATTTTTGGGGTACAATTTTGGGCCCGAATTTTGCAAAACAAATTACGCCATACTATTTCTGCTAAAATTTTCAGCAGTTTTTGTCTTCATAAATTTTCATCTTAATTCAGCTCAGCTTGAGAAAAACGCGTTTTAAATTTCAAGTTTAACGAATTTTGTCCGGTTAATTTAAATCAGCACTGTAGTTTGGTTGACAATTTTTCTTGGTTCTGTTGAAGTATAGAAATGTATCGTATAGAAAAAGATTAGTCGTTTACTTGAATTGTAAGCAACTGTTAGGCCTCAAATCGAACTGCACCGTTTTATTTCAGATCATACCGGACGTCAGAGATCGCAAGGTCACGACAGCAGGTCTCCAGACAGTAAGAAACAAATTGATAGCATTTACATAAACTCAAACTGGTCCCTATCTCATTCGGGCAACCAAAAATAAATTTTAAATTATAGATGTTAAATTTATCAACTCATGTTTAGGTACATGTTACTAGTTCAGTTTTAGTTTAACTTGAGTTTTCAGGCGTACTTGCCAAACCTCTCCTTAAGGTTTTTTCTTCATCTTTCACTTATGTTCTATTCGGTGAATCATTATTCCCCCCATTTTGTCGACTCCTCTCCGTTGTCGCGTCGATTTTCGCGTTGTCTCCTCGCCTTGTTTTCGTTGACGGTTTTCGGTGTCCGCTCCTTGTCCGTTCCCGACGGTTCGTTTTCTCCTCCGCCCGCTGCAAGAGACATTTTCGCCGTTTCGTCCGTTTCGACTGACCAATCGCTATCTTCATCCGCGTCGCTTTCGTCCTCGCTGTACTCGACTATTCGATTTGTCGACTCCTCTCCGTTGTCGCGTCGATTTTCGCGTTGTCTCCTCGCCTTGTTACTACTGACGGTTTTCGGTGTCCGCTCCTTGTCCGTTCCCGACGGTTCGTTTTCTCCTCCGCCCGCTGCAAGAGACATTTTCGCCGTTTCGTCCGTTTCGACTGTCCAATCGCTATCTTCATCCGCGTCGCTTTCGTCCTCGCTGTACTCGACTATTCGATGTTTCTTCGGTTTTTTTGCTCGTACCATATCTTCGTCTTTGCTATACTCAACGATTTGGTTTTCTTCGATTTTCGCCCTTTTTTCATTTCCAATTGATATTTTTCTGCTTTACTTTTGTACTTTGTGGGCTTAGTTGGACCCGGAATGTTCCTTGTAGTCTTGCTAAGACGTGGGGTGCATCCGTCGCTACTGTTCTCAATTAGGCTTTTTTCAGCCGCCGATCTAAATGAAACACCACTTCGCCTTAGTAACGACCCTTTTTCCATTTGCACCGTGTGTTTAGTTAATTTTTCAATTTTTTAATTGTAAACGCTTACACCTTCTCGGGTCTTTCGGGTGCGTTTTCCAGTCTTTTGGTATGCTGTTGTAGTACTAGTTTTATGTCTTATGAGCCATTCTGGAGCCTCGGGTAACTCTTGTGCTGCCTTGGGATCCACTACTCCGTGACCTTGGGGTCCGTCTCCATTAGCTCATGCTCATTCAAAACCCTTAAGGTTTTTCTATATTCCGGGGCGTACACCAGATTGCTCCGCTTCTCCCAATCTAGGGTTAGTTCCACATTAGGGAGATTACTCGACTTGTCTAAAAAAGACAACTTCTGGTTAATAACATTGTTCCAATTTAGATTTTTCAATGATGGCTTTTTCGTCAAATTTCGTAGAGCCGTATTCGCTTCTCTTCCATGAAAAGCATCAAAGGGCATTAGCTTAGTCTTAGAATGGGGCAAAAAACGTAGCGCGCTGAGCGCACGGGAGATCATTAACTAAAACTTATAATTTCTATTTTGCTGAAGACATGTTAGGACGTAGTTTTTTATCGACCCAATTGTCCGTTCGACCATTCCCATCGCGCGATGGTCCTAAGCCGGAGATTTAATGAGTTCAATACCTTCATAATTACAGAAATTCTGAATTTCATTCGAGAAAAATCCAGTTGCCTGACCCATATGTAATTTCCTTGGGTGCCCATGGGTATTTATGTACTTCCTTAGGAACTTTAAAAGATTTTTAGGCTTGTTAGTTGAGCAGTCATAAGCCGACGGCCAATGCGAAAAATTATCTACTGCGACTAATACATATTTCTTCCCACCCTTTACATAATTGACCGGATACCAGAAATCTAATTGAACCAAATCATTGGGTTCCTTACGCACATACGTGTCGCCTATATCACTCTTTGGAATATCTGGTTTAATATTTTTACCTGCTTCTACGCAGCTTCTACAGTACTTCGCTGTAGTGGCAATGTTTCGGTGCATCAGTGGTAGCCATACGTCCTTCGCGGCTGCAAAAATCTTATTGCATCCGTGGTGGTTAAAATGCAAACATTGAGTACCGCTGACGACATATCCTTCGGTATGGCCAGCTGGCCATCCATCTACAGGCAGTTTTCGCGTACGGCAAAGTCATTTTAAGGTTGGGCGTAATATTTCCCCAATCTTGTGATGATGTCCTTGGCTCGTGGGTTTTTATCTCGGATTGCATCGCGGATCGTTTTCAGTATCGGGTCCTTTTCCAGATTGGCTTCTACTAGATTCAAACTCAGGATCTCAAGGTAATCGATTTTTCCAACTACTTTGTTGTCGCTAGGTACTAATGAGTAAATCAGTTTATCATTCTGCACGAGTGGGTAAGATAGTCCGGGAAACTGATGAAGAAATGAAAGAATAGTATTAAACTTTTTTTGAATTTGTTGTTTTGGAACAACTTTTTCTGGCGGTACTAATTCAAAATCAGAGTCAAAACTTACTCTAGGTGGTTGGTTTAATCGATTTAGAACAACATTAAGGTTTACATCTCCAGAGTGGGTTGAAGTATTATTAATAGCGGATGTTCGTGGGTCGTTTTTCTCGGGTGAATTGATCGATGACATATTTTTTTAACTTTTATTTCGAAGTGTACAACTTGAATTTAAGCTCTGACAACAACGTCTGATTTTGTTACGTCGGTATTTGCATATTTCCGCCGGTACGCAAATATCTCAATTCTGATTGCTTAACCGCCAGTTGCTTGTAGACTCGCCCTCTAGTGAGCGTGTGTGTTCACGGTGAATATTTGCACATTCAGCTTTTCTTCTATTTTCGTGGGATACAACTGTTTTTGTTATCGCAAAACACGAGTGATCGCCCTCTACCGTCGGTTTTGGCCTCAGTTGATTCACTTTCTGACCCCTAGGTTTCATTTGATCCTTCGGTTTCAATGCTTCGTTGATTATTTTTATTTTCGCTACCGTAAAACTTTCATCATAATGACTTGTCTCGGGAGCCTATGCGGATGAAAACCGAGACAAATAGTCTGCCAATCCCATTTTTGATCCCTGTTTATGGTCAACTTTTGAAATTGTTAGGTACTAACCGGTCGTATCATCGAGTTAATTGGCTAAAAAATGTTTTTTTTTGCTTTTGGGGAGGAATTAAACAATGTAAGCAACGCCTTGTGATCCAATATAACTGTTAAAAAACGGCCATATATATAGTTTCGAAAATGTTCAGTGGCCCGCACTACCGCGACTAATGCTAATTCATTTGCAGAATATTTTTTCTCGGCCGGATTGAGGTACCTTGATGCGAACGAAATCGGGTGCCACCCGGAGGCGCTGTACTGTTCTAACACGGCCCCTAGGCCATCATGACTAGCATCGCAGATAATCCGTGTCTCATGGTGAATGTCGAAATGTCTTAGTTCCACAATGTTTTGCACTAGCGATTTTAGTTTGCACAAAATCGCTATTCTGACTTAGTAATAGTCTTAATGGTGCATTGAACCCATTAGTTTTTTTAATTGCTTTCTAGATTTTGGGGTTTTCAGATCTTCCACCGCTTGTGTTTTCCGGACTAACGGCGCGACGCCACTTTCCCCAATTTGATATCCGAGCCACTCACACTTGGTTTTTGCAAACTCACATTTTCGTAATTTCAACGAAACATTAGAAACGTCCAATTTTTAAAGTATTTTTTCCACTAACGCAATATGCTCTTCTTTAGTTCCTTTAGAAGCTATTAGAATATCTTCGCTGAAAGCATTTGCTTGCAGAAATTCCTTAAGTAAATTATCAATCACTTTTTGAAATTCCGCCGGCATTGACGTGATCCCGTAAAACCCGTTTTTGAAACTATAAGTTCCCGTCAGTTTCCCGCCGACTAATGAAAAGTTGCATTGCTCACTTGTTTTTTGTTCTAGGGAAACTTGCCCGTACGCGTATGTGAAATCCAGCGTTGTAAAGTATACATTCCCAGGTTTCCTTTCAGCAATTATCTGATTTATTCCGTCTACTAGTTCGTCAAAATTTGGCATTTGGTACTTATTCTTGTGTACCTGTTTTTTCAGTTCTCATGATTCTAAGCCAATTTTATGCTTCCATCTTTTTTTACTGTGACGACTATAGGAGAGACAAAATACTTATCTGAACACTCTTGTAATCTGATGATGTGACCTTCGTTTATCAACCAATTAATCTCCTTATCTACCTTATCTTGTAGACTGAGAGGCACCCGGCGCCCCTTTTGTTGTATCGGATTTAAATTTTTGAAGAAATCGGCTCTTACTTTAACGTTCCGGATTTTTCCTATCCTGGTAAATAAATTTGGGTACAACTTACAGTAATATGTTTGCAATTCATCATATTCCTCCTCTTCTTGACTGCTCCCTTCCCCCGTGATTCCCATCTTTTTCCTTCTTTGCACCAACTCCAGGCCTACGGTGCCCATCAGATCACAACCAAGGATTGACTGATGAATTCCTGATTTTACTGACACATGTGCTGGTGCTGCCTAGCCGTTCAGCGACATCATCACCGCTACCTTCCCAAGTATGTGTATTCGGTTGTTGTTGTAGTCTAAGAAATCATCTTTCGAAGGTTGTAACTGAATATTCGCTTTACCTAATGTTGGTTTCAGGTCTGTCATGCTGAAAATCGTCACTGGGGATCCGCTATCTATCCATAACCCCATTTTTTTTCCTGACACCTCAACCTGGACTCGGGCCCCAGTGATCTTCAGTTCTGTCAGGTTCTTCTTCCTTTTGATCGACATCACCATGTAATCATCAGATCCTGACGTCATAGATTCATTCTCCCCGCTTCCCTGCTGATTCAGCCACGCCACTGGATCTTCTGCCACATCATTAACACTCTGCATGCTCTGATCGTGCTCATTTTCATCTCTCACTAATCCGACTCGTCCTCGTCCTCTCCACTTGTTAGTGCCTCTCCTAATCCCTCTGCATGTTCGTTCAAAGATTCCGACACGAATTAAATGTTGCTCCCTTTGCAGGACAACTCGCAATATGATCAAGAGTAAAGTTCGGTGCGTCGCAATTATAACACTTACGGTTATTACCGCGTCCCCCACTGCTTGATCCTTGGGTGTACCCTCCGTGACCCCCGCGTGCTCGACCTCTGAAAAATCTTTGTCCCCTTCTGATATTATAAACTGGCTCCTGTTTTATAGATATCGGCGGCGCTGACGAGGCCGGTTTTCCAGTGTATGATTTATATGCACGTTCACCGCATTCATACGATAATGCGATCCGATAGACTTCCTCGGGTAACTTTGTTGATCGTGACAATTCTCGTTGGCAATCCGATTCCCGCATGTTCATAATAAAAATATCACGAACGTTTTCGGCCGCATTATCAAAATCACAACTGCCTGCAAGAGCGCTCAATTCCGCCTGGAATTTCTCAAATGTTTCATTTTCCCTCTGCTTTAATCCATAGAAAAGTTCTCTCTCATGAGTTACGTTACGTTCACGCTTAAAGACAATTTGCATCTCGTCAAGGACCCGTGGGTAACGTTTCGTTTTAACATTTACCACCGGTTTTCGTGCTTTAAATATCCTTTGCGCTTTGTCTCCAATACAGAGATAGAGATTAAACTTCAACTTCTTTTCCGCCTCAATACGGTTTTTCCCATTTACCTCCTCTGGCAACGCTGCAATAGCCGCCGCATTTAAGATACGCGCAAAATAGAAATCATCGGAATCAATGTCATATTTGCTATCATCCCCCGGTGAAACTTTATGATTCACACCTCCGAGTAAATTGCGTCCCAAAATGATAGTATCTTAAGTGGATTTTCCCCCCTCCTTTCCTTTCTGCTGACTGCGCCATGTTGAAGCATAGAAATGTATCGTATAGAAAAAGAATAGTTGTTAACTTGAATTCAAGCAACTGTTAGGCATTAAATCGAAATCTTACTGCACCGTTCTATTTGAGATCATACCGGACGTTAGAGATCACAAGGTCGGGACAGCAGGTCTCCAGACAGGAAGAAACAAATTGATAGGATTTACATAAGCTCAAACTGGTCTCTATCTCAATTCAACAAGCGGGAACAGGGCTTTGTAAGTTTGGCCAATTCATGACTTTTCGTTGGTTTGGTTATGATAAATGAAAAAATTTTCAAGAAAGGAAAAATTTGGTTATTATTTCCAAAGTTTTTACAAAAAAATTGCATCCCTGATTTCCATCTTTGTTTGATCATCTTTGGTCAATCGTGGGTTTCAAGCAGAAAGAAAAGGAGATTCTTTTAACATGACTGTAGTTGACTTACACACATGACAGTCTGAGGTGACGCCATCTCTGATTTCTTCTCTTTGGGTGCAATTTGATCCAGCAAGTGGGCATAGGCCTCTGAGTCCTGGAATAAAACAAATAATTCACAAATTCAGATTCTTTCTCAAAATACTTTTCAAGCTCTTTCTCATCAATTTTTTTCAACGATGATCCATTAAAAGCTGTTTGTATTCATGAAAATTGGTGCGGGTATAATGAAGAAGAGCCCTCTACCCTTTCAAGTCAATTGAACCCCCTTTTCTCAATAGCACCTCATTTTTTTCACCCCACAACCATAGTAGCGGGGTAAATGGGAGTGGGCTTTCGCCCCTTCCCCTCAGGGATTCAAACCCCTGCCGACCCAATGGGTCCCCCTTTATTTGAAGTTGCCTATACTTGGCTGATTGACCCTTAAGTCTTTCTAAAGAGGGTTTTTCTAAAACTTTCTAAAATAATTTTTTTTGTCAACACTTTCCAAAAAGTGCCTTAAAATGCCTGTTTTTGCCTGATTTTTTTTCAAAAATTTGCCTGTGGCGCTGATTTGGTAAAACTAGAGTCTCTATATTGATTTGGGAAAGCTCAGAAAAATAATTTGGTTGACAAAGAATTTGGTCCTTAAAAAGGTTGCAAAAAATTTCAAATGGCCAATTTGAGGACCTACTGGATTTTTTGAGGACCATTTTTTCTTGGATTTACTAATTATTTTGAAATCAAAAGAATATTTCTATTTGTAGACAACTTCCAAAGACAACTTTTAGAAAAAAAAATACGTTTCCTCAGATGTTTTTATAAAGTACATATTATAATCTTGTACAGGTTGTTTACACCTCCCTTGTGCGTTGGGAGGTTTTTTGAGGGAAAAATTAGCCCTAATTATTAACTTTTTCTAGAATACAAAAAGGTGATTTTCGATGAAAAATAACAAAATTAAATTTTCATTGAAAGTATCATGAAAGAAAAATGTCATTGAAAGTATCATATCAGAAAAAATTATTGAAAGTATTTACCGATATAGTTTTGTGGAACCTGATCTAAACTACATTTTATGATTGGATAAATTAAATGTTTTACCAATGTAAAGTATTTAATATTAACCAATCATGATCCATCTAACTAACAACCCACTTATTTGTAAGTGCTGAAGTTACTTGTAATTTCAGCACCAGAGAGATTTGAATTTAACTTAGAAATTAGTTGGACTCTCCCGAGCACTTCAGCAGCCGCAATAAACCAGTATACCCTAGATCTATTGAGCCTAGCAGAGACTAGTTAAACAACCTGAGACTAGATAGTATAAGAGTAAGATTAGGATCGGTATTAGACTAAGAAGTTGCACGAATCTATCCGGCCGAAAATAAGATAGCGTGACGAGCAGACGGTGTACCCTATCCGAAATTACTCTATGAGTTACACTTCGGTCCTAACTCATCTGGTGCGACCATAAGTCTCGAACAAGACCTTACTAGATTAGAATTAACCAAAATTAGATTAGAAATTAGACAAAAACATTTAAAAAATGTTATACGACAATAATTTAATTGAAATGTCTCTCCGACTCAATAGATCAGAGCCAATATTCCGAACCATAATAGAACTACCCGGAATTGGAAGAAGACATCGAACCAAAGACGACATACGACAAAGTAGAAACTTGCCGTATAGTTATATGATAGTTCGGCAAAAGCCAGAACAAACTTTTATATTTCGAATACTACTTGCAATGAATTTAGATTTCCATTTGCAAACATAAAACCTTGAAGTTAATCTTCAAAATCATTTCAGGCGCTAAACAAAATTAATATTATACAATAACGATTGATAAAAAGATCTAAGATCGTTTTCCTAAAACTCTGCAGTATTATACAAAACATGTTTGAAAAATATTTATTGGAAAATAAAAATAAAAATTAGTAGCATGACAATAAATGGTTAGTAATCATAAATCATCTTGTTGTTCCAGCTTCATCACCTAAAACATAACAGCAATCATCAACTCACTAATATCATCAAAACACTAAATCTTTCCTTTACACACATCTAAAGTTTTATTAAAACTTAAAGTCACTTAATTTTAAAACCAGATCATCAAGGCTTATCCTTGGATCTTAAATCATTTTCTACTTAATTAAATTTCAAATTTGATCATGAAGGCTTATCCTTGGATCAAACAGAACAACTTTGTTCTCCCCCACCCACTTAATTAGTGTCTAACGACCTCAAACGTCGATTCACTACCCAACCCTTTCTAAAGACCCAAGACTAATAGAAATTTTTAAACAAAACTAATCATTCAAATTAGGATAAACAGTGAAGAACTTCGGTTAATCATCCTTCACTTGACCCCCCCTCTTACCAGACCCAGGATAAATCTTAGACTTAGTAAGTTTAAAATAGTATCTAACGAACTACTCGCGTTCTAATTATACCTGAACCTTGTGGATCGATTTACTATTCTCCAACCCTTGAACACAATCACTACCCCTAAGTAAGATTAAGTAAGTTAACACCTTAGCTTATACTAGTCACGAGAAAGTAAAAATCATTCTTCGGAATCGATATACTTTTCTCTCCAACCCTGAACAAATAGACCCAGGTTAAGCTAACCAAAAAATCGTAAGAACTAACAGTTTAGGAAAATAGAAATCATTTAACAACCTTTTGCATCCGTCATCCTAAACCTTATGTCATTTAAAAACCTAGGAAATAAACAAACAATCATTTTACACAATTGTGAAATAGATAACAAAAAATACGACCTTGTAATCACACCTCATACACAAACAGTTGGATACATTCGAACAAAACGACAAACACTAAAGAGAAAAATAATAACTAAACAAAGACAAATAACACGAAAAAGATTTTCAAAAAATCGAAACGCATTTTCAGAATCAGAAACCAACAGTTTAGACGAACTTTACAAACTAAAAGAATCAATAGATAAAAATTACCCACTTCACGATCAATTATATTTTTCTGACTCAGAAACAACTTCAAATTCATCACAAAGAGGAAAAAGAAGAATAAAAAAACAGTACAAACACAAACCAGTACATTTATACAATTGGAATCAACCAATTCGACACATTAATAATAACATATTAACAGTCATCGAACGGAAAAATGAGTTCAACGCACACCCCAGGTGACGAAACTCCAGATGATGATGAAATCTTTCCTTTTATAGTAGACGCAGATACTGATAGAGGACAACACATATTTTGTCAAAATTTACTCGTAAATTTATTTGAACCCGGAATCAGTCCATGTAAAACAGAGTTCCCCGATGTAAAAATCAAAAGACAAATCATAGATCACTATCTAAAAGATATATGCAACATAACACAGCAGTATGGAATCTACTCTATAGAATTCACTTCCCCAAACCATAATAATAGAACATATACTATTCAAACAGACAATCTTGATTTAGAATTTTCAAAAGTTTTTTCAGAATATATAAAAAACATCCAATACCATAACTCACAAAGAGCAAACTCCATTTTCACCAATGAAGTTTTCGCAATAATATATAGTTATATTTCGATATTAGAAAACGAAATCCCATTAACAAATGTCTCACCGACAGAAACATCTAAACATTTAAGAGTACGACATGAAATCACACTACTCTCTAGTTATTTAAACATCATTAAAGAAAATTTCACGAAAGACGACGTTTCACAACATACCAAACACGATTTACAAAAAATTTTGGCATGGTTCATAATAGATTATTTCACACACAATATTGATTTAATTGCACAAGCAAGAAAAAATTTTAGACCCCAAAATTCGAACGATGATACCGCTATCACAGAACAATCAGATTATGTTTGGGACCCCGAATGGTCTCATCCCGCATTTATAAGCTTTCCACAATCAATCTCAAGTCAAGCAATAGGTACAATATCTTACATAAGAGATTACGTAAGAGTAATACCATTAACAATTGATGCAACACCATTAAACTATAATACATTTTTACCCGATACACAAAATAATAGTTTAAACTCTACAGTCATACACAACGAAAACCTCAATGGAACTAGGAATCTTACTCAACAAGATATCCAGACACCATCACACTTCATAAATGAAGAAATTGTACACACAACAACTACACAACAAAGTATTTCACCAATACGCCCAAATTTAACAACACCAAGAAATACAAATCCTTCACAAACACAGGTAACCTTACAATCAACCGTTAAACCTTCGGTTGCTCCAAAATATTCACATATGGATTACCAAACATATAGACCCATGACAATACCATCAAAAACACGCAAAATATTCACTAGAAACAACTTTGCAGACCATAATTATAATTATACACATCCATCAAAAACATATAATCAACCACAAAGAAATTTTAACCAATATACAAGATCTCGAAATTGGGATAACCCAATGACCCAATCTAATTCAATAAATTTCAAAACAAATTCTCCACAGGATCACAGTGAAAATTACCCATTTTTTCAACAAAATAAAAATAAAAAACAGACATCTTATCAAATGGATTATTTATCCTCAGATGATGACTTCTTACAACCAGATATATTTACACAAAATACTCAAGAATATCGTAGACAAGGAATACAGAAAACACGTACAAATCATAGAAATTTTTCTCCACAACCGATAGATGCACAACATCAACAACCAATTCAACAACAAAATCCAATTAATACACAATCTTTTCAACCAATTCAACAACAAAATCCAATGACTGCACACTCGTATCAACCATCACAAATGCAAAATGAAATACCACTCCCATATTATCTTCAACAACATGAAATAACAAGAAACCAACTTTCAAATTTTTCTCAAATGCCAAATGCAGCAGAATCATTACAAATGACAATGAATCCATACCTTATGGGTGGATCATCGATAACATCAAATAAACCTTTAATGGTCTTCACAGGAACAGACCCTGAATACTCTGTAGAAGATTACTTAAATGCAGTAACAGCAAATTTGATTTTAAACATAGGACCTGAACCAATTAACACGCCACTACATCAAAACTGGATACATCGACGCACAGCGTTGATACAAACAACCTTAGAT